TGTTAAATCTCATTATTTTTTTGTTAATTATTATATAATTTATGATAATAGCCAATTAAAATTCTCAAAAAGTAAAAATTTAATAAAGAAAAAAATTTTCCAGCAATAATAAAACTTTTAAAAATTATATATAAAAAATTTTTGAAAAAAATATAAATGACTCAAACTTTTGGAAACTGTATAAGAATTTTAATTTTGAAATTATTAATAAAAATCAATTTGATTTTGAATTTTTTTTTTTTATTAGTACTTTAATTTTATTACAATTAAGATTTTAAGATTTTTATAAAAAGCAAAATAATAAAGGTTCTCGTCGCTATTTGTATTGTAGATCAAAATGCTTGTTATAAAAAAACAAATCTCTTTTAGAAATTTTTTTTTTCAGCAAGATGGAGATTTTTATGTATTAAAAATCTCTAATAAAAAAAAATTAGCTCTGGTCACTTGAAAAGATTATATAATACCGATGTGTATGTCGATCGTCGTCATAATCAGAAGCGGATATAAAAAGATATTTAGTAAAGTTTCTTCTCTTTAAAAATTATTTAACAACAGTAGTATTAATTTTAACATTGGAATATTCGTCTTCTGTTGGAAATTTAAAGGAAGCATGGTGAATGTGACTTCCGTGAGCTTAATTAAAGAGAAAGACGTTCGAGCTTACTTAAATCTCATATTTTATCACCAGAATACGCTAAAGTCAGCGCAGAAGGAGAAGGTCAGGCAGTTCATGGCTTTCACGAATGCTAGGTAATATAAAATAATCTTTGGGCTTTAATCGTGTGGCAGAAAGGTCTCTTTTTCGTTGGTTTAACTTTTAAGAACATGTTAGTGAGCGTATTTCCATCAGAAAGCTTAAGGAATGCAATTGGAACGTCGAGGTAGCCGTGGACGCTTTTTTCAATGATCAGCCTAGCACTTGGAGAGCTTTTGGCGGAAGTTCACAGGGTTCTGTAAATACAGATGCTTATAAGCTCAATCAGATTTTTTCAAAGTACAAAGGTCGGTATTTATCGCCAAATTAGCGAATAGGTTAATGTGTATGCTATCAAATGGGGATCAAATTGTGTGTGGATTTCGTAAATTCATTGTAATGATAAGTGTAATAATCAATATTAACATTAGATATTTGATTACGTTTGGTTTTCATCGTTATTAGATAAAGATGAAGACGCCATTTTAGTGGATGGAATGCTAGAATATTGCAATGATTTGCATGTCGCACCTGAGGATGTTGTGTTGTTAGTCATCGCTTGGAACCTTGAGGCGGAGAGGATGTGCGAATTTAAACGACAGAATTTTATCAATGGTTGGACAAAATTGAGGTGGATATATTTTCATCCCACGTGAAGCATTCATTTTCATACTTATTGTTGGGTTCTAATGTCATATTTTTTTTGTTGTTTTCGACAGGTGCGATTCCATCGAAAAAATGCGTGCCGCACTACCTCGACTTCGACAGTCATTGAAAGAGGAAACCACTTTTAAGGAAGTTTATCAATTCACCTTTAAATTCGGATTAAGCGAAAATCAGAAATCCTTGAGTAAGTTAATCCCAATTATCGTATGTACGCGTCATCTTCTCAGAGACCTTTTATGTTTAACGGGATCAAATGTGTCTTTGTTTATATCGGTTTTGCTCACTACAGGTTTAGATGTGGCGATAGAACTCTGGCGATTATTGTTGAGCGATCGTTGGCAACATCTTGACATATGGATAGAATTCTTAAAGGTCGGTTTAATACATGCCAGGGTTGTTTTCTAATTAAATTTCACGTGATGTTAACTGTTTTATTCAATGATTACATTAGGAAAAGCATGGAAAGTCGATTTCAAAAGACACGTGGAACTTGGTAAGCGAACAAGAGTAGTCGTTGAAAGTTATTGGGGAAAGAGAGGAACCAACTTTTTTTTATAATTAGCTGTTAGATTTTGTGAAGCAAATTGGTTCCGATTTTTCTAATTATGATGCTGAAGGTAATTTGACGAGAATTTGAATATCAAAATCCTTTTTACCAAATAATTTACATCTTTTTTTTTTTAATTTATTACCTCAGGTGCTTGGCCAGTCCTTATTGACGAGGTGCGACACTGACGTTCTCAATTGAAGTTCCATAATTTATTTTAATTTTATCTTTTGGAAAAACAGTTCGTGGATTACTGCAGGGAAAAGTTGCAAATACCATCATCCTAGGAAAGTTGCGATAGGATCCCGGCGGAGAACGAATGAACAAATAGATTCTTAAAATTCTTTTCTTTTTTGTAGATCTTCGACATGGTAAACACTTGCTATGTTCACATTCTTTCCTCCTATTAATTGTATTGCTTCTATCTATATTTGTTTATAACTATTTCGTCATGCAATGGATTTAAGGTTCGGCTTTTGGACGTTAGAATCTACCGTAATTGATATTAGTATTTATATAGAATTATGGTGACGATTTGCAATTCATTTGATAATGTACTTGTGTAGATACGTGCGTGCTAGAAGGCATGAACGTATGTACGTACGTACGCAGAAACTTGTATGTATCTTTTGATGCTCTGGTCGCACGGGTGAGCTTTTCGAGTTAATCCTGATCAAATACGAACTTGATATTTTTTTTTTTTTGTGAGAATTGCATGTAATTAGCCAATGTTACACACAATCCATAGTTACGTCGAATAGTAAACTCGTTGCATAAAAAAAAAAAAAATTACATATTTCCATCTTCGTCAATATTAAAACATGAAACGTGGATTTCGTAACATGAGCGCCATGTGGTACATACGTACTTAATAAATAAATCATGGGGCTTTACGTCAAATTGATGGAGGAATGCGGAAAAATTGGTCGGAATCAAATGAACCAATCATGACTATTTCCGTGAAAGACGTTTGATTTTTTTTTTTTTTTTCCTATATAAAAAAAAAAAAAAAAAAACCTTTTTCAAGATCTTGTTTTAACGTCCTCATATAATCATTCATACTAAACTCATTTTATTCCGACGAACGACGTACATTTGACAAAGCATGGGTACTGCCGACGAAGGTTGCAAAAGTCTTTATGTTGGCAACCTCGATCCACGGGTGACTGACAGTATGCTTCATGAGATATTTGGTGTAGCGGGATCTGTAAACAATACGAAAATTATTCCTGATAAAAATGTGAGTTGACCTTATCATCGCGACAAGCCAATAACGATTGTAAGTTTTGAGAGGTGGTATTGGCTGAACTTGGACTTGGCCACCTTCAGTGTGTGTTGAATTGGCATTTTTTGCCTTTTTTTTCTTGAGAACGAGGGCACTGTTAGAACGAGCTCTTTTGTGGAGTTTTCCGTAATGGCTGGCCTTGCTGGACACTCCGAGTTGCGCTCCATAGAATATATGACGCAGCTCAAAGGTTGGAATTCCTTTATCTTCCCTCAATATTTTTAATCCAAATATCTTTTTTTTTTTTTTTTCTTTTTTTTTTCTTCTCTACTCTTCTCATATCTCAACTTATTTGTTTTCCTTTTCCTTTTTTTTCTTTTTTCTTTAATTTATTATTTATTTTAATTTTTCATTTCCAACCCTGGTCTTTTTTTTATTTTATTATTATATTATAATTTTTTTCTTGTATCGAGTTTATTTTTTTATTTATTTTAATTTCTACGAAAACATTCTCCTAACTTCGTTGATTAAACCAGTCATATACTTTTTTGCAGCTATAGTGGTTTTGTGGGACAGAGTGTGTAGACAAGACAAAGTTACCGAGTTGGCTCGTAGGCTGTTCTCTTAAACCTTTAGAAATATGGACGCCTTGTTTATTTTATTGTTACATGGTAACCATTTGACTAACAATATTTATTTATTTCTTTTCTCTTTTCCTGCGTCATCAGTATCAACACGGTGGATTGAACTATGGCTTTGTTGAATTCAATGATCATCGTTCCGCCGAACAGGCTCTTCAAACACTTAATGGACGAAAGATATTCAACATGGTATTATTAAATATCGATCTTTGTGAATTGTAAATTAATAACGTTAACAATTATTTCAAATCTTTCAGGAGATTAAGGTGAACTGGGCTTTTCAAGGGCAACAAGGTCACAAAGAGGATACCTCAAGTATGCTATTGTTTATTTGATGCCTGTTTCTATGGAATTTTAGTTGTGAAAAAATTTTTTTTTTTTTGTTTTTTTTTTCCTTGAATCAGATCACTATCATATTTTTGTTGGGGATTTGAGTCCTGAAGTTAACGATGAAGTGCTTGCTAAGGCCTTTAGCGCTTTCGGAAGCATGTCGTAAGTACTCGAGTTATATTTGTTTCTTGAATATCTATACCTCATAGATTATTTCATAACGATCATTCTCGATAGGGATGCTCGCGTTATGTGGGATGTTAATTCTGGAAAGTCCCGAGGATATGGTTTCGTTGCATTCAGAGACAAGACGGTAAATGTTTAATAAGTATCTACGCCCATATCTTTTGTTCTCATGAAGTTTTCTAAATTCATTATTTCTTTAAGGACGCGGAGCAAGCTATTGCAACAATGAACGGTGAGTGGTGTAAACCGTAACGCGACTTCCATCAACCTAGTTGATGATTAAAAGGTAAAGTGAGATTATTCTTACGAAATAATTTGTATAGGTGAATGGCTTGGGAGTCGAGCTATTCGATGCAATTGGGCCAATCAAAAAGGACAACCGGGTCCTGGAAGCACATCAGAGCGGCAAGGTAGCGATGTGCCCACTTTCGATTTGAGTGAATCTGTCGTCATCTACTAACATCACTTGCCATCTTTAAACCCAGGTAATCCTTCGCAAGCGCCTCAACTATCCTATGATATCGTCGTCGCTCAAACTCCGCAATATAATTGCACCGTATATGTCGGAAACTTAACACCCTACACTACACGTAAGTTTTTTATGAATATTTCCTTCTACGGCATCTCTTCTTGAATCTTGCTCACCAAAATACGATTTCAGAGGATCACTTGATACCATATTTCCAACCTTTCGGGTTTATCATTGAGGTCCGCATGCAAGCCGACAGGGGTTTCGCCTTCGTGAAGTATGTGTGCGGTCCTGTTTCATTATTTATATTGTTCGATCACTAATAAAACAATTCTCATTCGTTAGACTGGACTCCCATGAAAATGCTGCAAATGCGATCGTGAACCTTCAAAATACTAACATTAACGGTCGAATTATCAAAGTAAATAAAGTCATTACTGACCTTACTCGATTTTTTTCCTCTGAAATTTGTAATAAACGCGTGACTTGTTAAATTTTAGTGTTCCTGGGGAAAAGACCGAGCTCCTGAAGCGACCACGGCTGCCTATCATCCCTATGGTGTGCAGAATGCCGCCTATAATTACAGCCCTTATGGATATTACGGGAACCACACCGGCCATCATTATTCTAACGCAGAAAGCGGTTATGATCTTCCCCCCGGCATGTCCGCACCACCACAATCTTTGGCATCTCTCGACAGTGCTACTGCTGCTGCTGTTGCCGCTGGTCAACAGCCGCACGCAACAGCCGGCTGGGAACAGTATTATAATAATGGATATGAAACTTATGGACAACAATACTACCCGTACGGATATGGTCAGGCGGTTCCACCTGGGGCTCCGGGAATGGGCACCCCTACGTCTCCGCATGCCGTTGCCGGCGGTCACCCTCCTTCGGTTGGTGGCCACGGTCCCTCAGGTGGAAGTGCATATTCTGGTTGATATCATAATATGCATATCGGATATACGTAAAGAACAAATAAATCTTAAGAGTAATGTAAGGGTTATTGTATAAATATCAAACGTTTTTTCTCATTTTACGTGATCGGGCTGCCAATAATTTTTTTTCTTCATATTTTTTATTTTTTTTTGGAAAAAAAGAATCCTTTTTTTTTTTATCGGTTTTTTTTCTGTCGGTTCAATGCGTGCACTTTTTTGATATTATGTAGGATTTGAATATATGTACATACATATTCTTTTGATACGTTACCGAATTTTTGAACTTTTTTTCTTTTCCGTAATCTTACAAACACTTAAAAAAAAAAACAGAACTTTCCTGAATATTGAAGAGTAATACAATATTTATAGTCTTATTACTGTTCCATTTCTATATTTCATTTTATGCTTTACCTGAATATATAAAAAGAAAAAATTTCTGTTCTATCCAATCTAATCAGTGATCCCTGTTCGTGGTATTTTCTTGATCTGAGTTGCAATAATAGTAATCTCGAAAAATTTCGACTGGTGATAAACATTATTATTAAGTTAATATTATAAAATAGATTCTTTCAATATATTTTCGTAATATTTTAGTTGAATTGGGACACTTTTTTTATTTATTTATAATAGGACTTTGAAAGTTACGTGAAAAAGAAAATTTTTTATAAAGTCTTATATAATAATTTTAATATACAATACATATGGTTTGAGACAAAAATTTTTGCCCTTTTATTTTTCATAAATAATTATTTAATCAAAATAATAAATAATTCAATAAATTAATGATATAAATAAATCATTAATTAGTTTATATTATATAATTTGATATAAATAAATTGACAATCAATTTCTACTATATCAATAATATTATTTATCATATAATTCAATATAAATAAATTGTCACTATTTCTATTATATTGTGAAAATTTTTTCAAAAAATTATTATTTTTTATTTTAACATTTGTCAAATTTGAATTATATATTATATTTATTATTTAAAGAAATTATAATTAAATATTCAAAAAATCTTGTTAATTTGAAATTCTATACTTAAATACAGTATAATAAATAAATCAATCAAAAATATTAAAAATAGGAATTATACATTCATATTTAATTGGATAAAATTTTATACTTTATAATTTAATATTCATATTATTTTCAAATTCAAAATAAAATTTATTTTTTATTGAATTAACAAGTTTGTATCATTTAATGAAGACTAATTAATATTCAATAATATTATTCAAGAAGTTTATCAAATATATAAAGAATAATTGAATTTGTTTCAAATATAAATTACTACTTTTATTATAATTCATAAATCAAGATAATATAAATTTTTTTTTTTTTTTTTTGACAGGCTCATGGCTAACTTTATTGGATCCCAAATTACAAGTTTACATTGCGCAAAGTATAAATACATGGATATATATTCGGGGAAAATAAAGATAACGATAAGCTAAAATTATTCTAAAGCTACTTCGAGGCTTATTGCCTTTTCTTTTTCCAAAGAAAAACCAGCATCCCTAAAGCGTACTGGTGTCATAAATGAAAATAAAAGAAATAAAAGAAAATTAGACAGTCATGTGAAATGTATCAGTCTTGTTTCTTGACACATGCCTGTCTTGTTCAAATTCCCCTCATAAAAAGGTTT